ACATTGTTGAAACTGTTCTAGGTATACAATTATGCTTTAGAAAATGCTCTTAAACTTTGAATAAATGTGGACCACTTTTTGCCAGTCAAACATTATATTATAAGGAGGATGAGACAATGATCTAATGCCATCCAAGTGATAACAGATGGAGTTTTAGAGAGCTGGGGAGATACTCTTTAATTATGCATAGAAGGAATTAGGATGCTTGTACGTTCTTTTTACATAAAATTTGTAGGCTATTTAATGCCACTTCTTAATATAATGAAAAATCCAAAATCCATAACAGATGTATTATTTCTGACCTTTGGGAGCATGTTCCAATATGTGGTGCTCCGGGATTACTTCCAGAAGTTAGTAGCTTTAATGAGCAATAAATAGAAAAGTTGCCTGAGCATTGAATATTCTTGGAATTCTGGGAGTTGAAGTTCATATCCACTGAAAAACATCCTATTGGAGAATATTAATATAAAGCGTAAGTTAAATAAGACCCTGGGTAAAAAGGGACCTACTCTCCATTTTACAATGGGACTGTGTGTTTGGAAAATGTGGTAAAGGATGGAACTGGTTCTTCCAGAATACAAAATGCTTCCTTTTTGGCAACTAGTTCCTCCTTGATTTGTACAAAAAAATCCTCCTGGCACTTAAGACAAAGGCTTTTTTATATTTTGCTTTTAGCACATTTGTTAGTACCAGCTACAGTGTGATAGTCTCATGATTTTTCTAAAGGCTTTCCCCCCTAGTTTAATCTACGAAGAAGTAGCATCTAACTTTTGTTGATGGAAGCCACCCCAAAAGTAAGATCTTTAGTCTTAGTCGAGGAGATATGAGAAATTAAATATTTATCTGTTATCTTAGCTTTACACTCAACCTTCTTCACTTCAAATACATTTTGTGCAAGACTGCTATCCTTTATGGTACTACTTATGTTCTTATGCCTGTTCACCATTTCAGGAAGATTGGACTTTGTGATACTTCATGTGGATCAAATTCTGGAGCTGCATATTGCAACTTTCAAAATGCCCACCCAGCATAATCAAATAATAATCCCAATACCTCTACAGAATGCCAATTGGGGGGGGGGGAAACGCTTAAGTTTTATTGATTACTACATCTGAATATTTGTAGGTTCACCATTTGCAAAGTTGATTTTTTAGCTACATGGTAGCCTGCAGTTCATTTGGTTTAATGGCCCAAGTGCAGCTTTACAGTGGATGGGAGTTACGGAAGTTGAAGTCCAAACTGTTTAGAGGACACTAAGTTGCAGACATTTGCAACCAAACAATCAAGCTCAGAGAGCAGCAAGGACCTCACAGTTCAAACCTGAGCCACAATATTCTCTTCCATTAGTAACACTAAGTTGTGTTTTTCTTTAATATTCTAGTTTATTAGGATATTTTTTCTCACTCTTAACCCTGCTCAAATACTGTACGTTGCTTCTCCTCCCCACTCATGATTCCTACTGTATACATGATTGCTACAACTTGTGGTTCTTGTTGCATGACATTATCTTTTCCCCCCCACTCTTTCCTGCCAAGTTTCATGTTGCAATTTCTCTACATGCTTAGTTTCCTGTTAACCTTTTCATGCACATGCACATTACAGCATTGTTCCAAGTGCAAATAATCATAAATTCATTACTAACATGCTAAAATGGCTATGTAATCATGGGTCCTCTGTTATAATTAATCAACTTGGCTATTTATGATTTTGGGGCTGTCCTTACTTCCATTTTTGTTTCTGTTTGATTTTCTAGTTAATTCACTAGGATCCTCAAGTTGGTCTAAAAAAATACAGTAACGTTTGGGCTGCATCTACATTTTGCACATAATGCATTGATTTAGGATGCAATATTCCCCTTCCCTTAAGAATGTTAATAATGATAGGCCCAGTACTCTTCAATATCTTCATGAATGATTTAAATGAGGGGATAGAAGGGGAACTCATCAAATTTTCAGATGAGATCAACACTCCAGATCAGTGGTCTCCAACCTTTCTGGCACCAGGGACCAGTTTCATGGAAGACAATTTTTTCACAGGCTGGGGAGGGGGGGGAGGTTTCATATGCAAACTAGATCCCCCACAGGCATACATGAAGCTTTGCTTGCCTACCACTTGCATGGTCTGGTTTCTAACAGGCCACGGACCAGAACCAGTCTGTGGCCCAGGGTTCGGGGACCCTTGCTCTAGATCAGGGGTAGGCAACCTTGGCTCTTTTATGACTCGTGGACTTCAACTCCCAGAATTCCTGAGCCAGCTGGCTCAGGAATTCTGGGAGTTGAAGTCCACGAGTCATAAAAGAGCCAAGGTTGCCTACCCCTGATCTAGATGATAGGCTCAAGATACAGAAGGATATTGACAGACTTGAATACTTGACCCTGTCTAACAAAATGAAATTAAATGGTGAGAATAGTAAGGTTCTACATTTAGGCAAGATAAAACAAATGCACACGTACAACTTGAGCAAGGGGTTGGACTAGAAAGACCTCCAAAGTCCCTTCCAACTCTGTTATTCTGTTATTAAGTCTCTCACTTGTTTATCTTTTTCAGTCTGAAGATTTATAATCTGTTCTGGTTTATAGCTTTGAGAATACATTTTTATTTTGTATGTAACCTTAAAACTTTAATTTGCCTTTAGTATGAATGAGGTGAGAGCATGTATATTATTCATTTTGTGCATTTCACTATTTATTTTGTGCAATTCTTTGGATTGCAGCTAGGTTCCTTGTTTTTCAAATGCAGATATAAACAAGACCATAATTTGTCACTTTACTAGGAGATAAATTTCTTAAATAGGTTTAGATTATAAATACGTGTACAGTATGTCAAAATTTAGCAATCCTATTGTGCTACAGGGCAGATACTGGCTTTTGCAGCTCATTACGTAAGATGCATTTTAGCATTAATCATTAGAGTAGAAAAATATTATTACATTAGGAGGGTGATATTATCACACTTTTTTTAGTATGTCCTGCCTCAGATCTTTTCAATGGCTGCTTATATTTTGATACAGTACAGTTTTATATGGTGTAGCACTAAGGATTGTACTATATGCAAATTCTAAACAGCAGACATAATTAATCGTATCTCCTTCTTTGGATGAAAAAAATATCAGTTTTTTTTAGGAAAAATATAAATATCAACTTGACTTGTTACTAGTATCATAATTTCTGATCTACAGGGCGCACATTCAAGGCAATGGGAAGTGCAGATCAGCCAAGTAATTAATCGCTCATTGATCTGGCGTACTAATGATTCTCAGAGAAAATCTGTTTGCTTTTGTTGAGAGTATAGTAATAAGACTTTAAAAAACTGAATAAAGATTATCTGTTAAATATCAACAAGATCATGGATGGTGGCAAGCTGTTTGTTGCATCTGAAATGTAGTGTCCTTAAAAAACAAACGAAGTAATATTTTCTGCGTAAGAAAATGTCCCAGACTTTCATTTGGTATTCAAAATTAATGAAAACCTTTTGAGTTCTCTGTAATTCATGCAAGAGATCAAACAAAGAAGTAAAACAGGAAGAGAAAGAAAGGTGGCAACATTTGAAACTACATGTAAATTTTTTGTAGAGGCAAATTACAGAGGTCTTTGCATTAATCTGTGACAATTGCTGCACATTTTAGATCACTCCCAAGAATAAGGGCCTAACCCTTTTTCCTTGGTAAAATAAAAGTGGTTTATCATTGCCTTCTTCAGGGGTTCCCCCCAACCACCCTGATTACTTACATAGTTTACAGCAATGTTTCTCAACTTCAGCAATTTTAAACTGCATGGATTTCAATATTCAGCATGCTAACTTGGGAATGATATATAGGGTCTCCTGTTTGAGCAGGGGGTTGGACTAGAACAGTGGTTCTCAACCTGTGGGTCGGGACCCCATTTGGGGTCGAATGACCATTTCACGGGGGTCGCCAAACAACGCAGTCTGCCATTTTTCCCCCCTTTTCCTTAGCTGTGCTACTCCCTTTTATTCTATTGGCTTTTGAAAGCCAATAGAATAGACTCTCTTGAATAGAGTATAATTCTATTGGCTTTCAAAAGCCAATAGGAATTGTCCAGGCTGTCTCTGCCCTGCTGAGCCCACCAAAAGTCCCATTCTGCAAACGGTGCTGCACCAGTTGAGTAGTCCTCGACTTACGACCGGTTGAGTAGTCCTCGACTTACGACCGGTTGGGGGTCGCGGCATTAAAAAGGTTGAGAACCACTGGACTAGAAGATCTCCAAGGTCCCTTCCAACTCTATTATTCTGTTATTCTGAATTATGGGAGTGGAAGTCCATAAACCTAAAGTTGCTGAGGTCGAGAAATACTAGTTTAGAGCTTCCTGGAGGTGTCCATCCACTACTTACCAACCGCTTAATTCCTTCATGTGCCATAAGTACCCCTTAATAATTTTGCCGCATATTAAATGATTCTCTAAAGATCTGCAGAAACAACCCAGGAACATTTATAATATTGTAAGGATAATTCCTATCTTGGTCAGCTTTTAACCTCTACATCGCCAATGAGGAAAACGCTTGATAGGAGAAAGTGCCCAGTTCGATCTGATCGTACACAATGGACGAAAGTCGGCTCTAATCGCTACCCTTAAAAAAAAAAAAAGGACAAAAACAAAAGTTGGCTTCGCATCTTAGCAACAGGAGTAAAGTCTCGTGAAGCCTTAAATTACTCGGGGAATCTGAAAGAAGGAAACGCTTGAAGGAAATCAACCAATGAGCAAAGCGCTCTTCAAAGTGGGGTGATATTGAGCAGCCGGTTCATTTAAATGGAGGAGGCTTGGAATAGGAATAGCCAATGGCCGCTGGCCGGTGGAATGAAGTGTCCACTGTGCCGAGATCGGCAGTTCAGCGAGCCACTTAAAAAGCAGAAGTGGGACTAGCTGCGCGAATGGAAAAGAAGCTTCAGGAGAGGTTGGCTGGCGGCTGAAAGACGAACAGATTGACGTGTGCTGCAGCCAATGGCTTTTGCATACCTGTTCGGCGCAGTCCAATAAGGCGTTCGCGGCTCGGGCGGCAGGTGAGCAGTTACCCGAGCACCGACAGGAGTTTGGTGATAGGGACCGTGGATAGAAATGTTGTTGTCGCCGTCCTTGGTGCACGCAGGGCTGCTCCTGCTCCTGGCGGCTCCGCTCCACGGCCGAGATACCCGGTTCGGGGCGAAGGCTCTGCGGGTCCGGCGGGGGTTAATCGGTGGGGCTGAGCCGGAGACTGGATGCGGCCCGCAAGACAAGGGTTTCGGCAAGGAGGTGCTTGACAAAAACACTCACAAGGTGAGAGCAGGTAGTGGCCTTCCTGGCCGGGTCGAATGGTGAGGCTTGGGGCACTGATGGGGCTGATAGCGCTGCTGCCTCCGCCATGGCTTGTGATGTAGAGCGGCGGGTTTTTGACTTTGGAAAACCGAACTTCCCGCTGGAATGAGAGAGAATTGAGGCAACGTCCGGGCGCGATCTCTCTGCAATACGCGAGTATCGTTTTGGTGCCTTTAAATGGGTCCTCTGAACATGGGCAGAATGCTTTTTGAGAACCAACAGCTGGATGAGCTTCCCTGGTTCGCTCTGTTTATCTTGGACTGAGGACAGATCAAGTAGCATGACACTCAAGCAGATTGTTTTCTTTCATCTTTAGGCAACACGACACCTAGTGTGTATTTAGGTATAAAGATGGATTGTGATGCATATGTGGTAAGACAGCCACACCTTTAGATGACAAGGGAGCTGAATGATCTGGTAGGCTAGTTAGAGGGAGTTAGGCATAAAGTGCTTATCTCTTTTTTTCCCTCCTCCTGAGCAAAAGGCTAGGCTGATAATCACCGCTGTAATTAGAAAAATAGTGTGAAAGATGCACAGTTTCCCTTCACAGAATAGCAGCCCCAAAACCTGTTTGGAGCTTTTGAAAATAAAGGAACAGGAAAATAAACGTTTTCTGTAAGTCTTCACAAGGTTGGCACACACTGTTGCTTGTATATTGGCCCATTCCTCCATGCAGATCTCCTCTAGAGCAGTGATGTTTTGGGGCTGTTGCTGGGCAACACGGACTTTCAACTCCCTCCAAAGATTTTCTAGGGGGTTGAGATCTGGAGACTGGCTAGGCCACTCCAGGACCTTGAAATGCTTCTTACAAAGCCACAGCTTTGTTGCCCGGGCGGTGTGTTTGGGATCATTGTCATGCTGAAAGACCCAGCCACGTTTCATCTTCAATGCCCTTGCTGATGGAAGAAGGTTTGCACTCAAAATCTCACGATACATGGCCCCATTCATTCCTGTACACAGATCAGTCGTCCTGGTCCCTTTGCAGAGAAACAGTCCCAAAGCATGATGTCGCCACCCCCATGCTTCACAGTAGGTATGGTGTTCTTTGGATGCAACTCAGCATTCTCTCTCCTCCAAACATGACGAGTTGTGTTTCTACCAAACAGTTCTACTTTGGTTTCATCTGACCATATGACATTCTCCCAATCCTCTTCTGGATCATCCAAATGCTCTCTAGCAAACTTCAGACGGGCCCGGACATGTACTGGCTTAAGCAGGGGGACATGTCTGGCACTGCAGGATCTGAGTCCCTGGCGGTGGAGTGTGTAACTGATGGTTGCCTGCAGGTCATTCACTAGGTCCCCCTGTGTGGTTCTGGGATTTTTGCTCACCGTTCTTGTGATCATGTTGACCCCATGGGGTGAGATCGTGCGTGGAGCCCCAGATCGAGGGAGATTATCAGTGGTCTTGTATGTCTTCCATTTTCTAATTATTGCTCCCACAGTTGATTTCTTCACACCAAGCTGCTTGCTTATTGCAGATTCAAGTCTTCCCAGCCTGGTACAGGTCTACAATTTTGTTTCTGGTGTCCTTCAACAGCTCTCTGGTCTTCACCATAGTGGAGTTTGGAGTGTGACTGTTTGAGGTTGTGGACAGGTGTCTTTTATATTGATAACAAGTTCAAACAGGTGCCATTAATGCAGGTAATGAGTGGAGGACAGAGGAACCTCTTAAGAAGTTACAGGTCTGTGAGAGCCAGAAATCTTGCTTGTTTGTAGGTGACCACATACTTATTTTCCACCATAATTTGCAAATAAATTCTTTCCAAATCAGACAATGTGATTGTCTGGATTTGTTTTCTCATTTTGTCTCTCATGGTTGAGGTCTACCTATGATGACAATTACAGGCCTCTCTCATCTTTTTAAGTGGGAGAACTTGCACAATTGGTGGCTGACTAAATACTTCTTTGCCCCACTGTATATTTACCTTGAAAAAATACTGTTCCCATTCCTGATTACTCTTACATTTATTCTTTACTTATGCTGTCCATCTGGCTGATGCTGTTTTTGTGTGTGTTATTACTCTTATATATGACAAAGTAGAAAGAGCAGTTTTGTTCTGCCAGGGATTACTATAAATTCTCAGCTGATATTTTGCTAAATCCAAGTCTTATCAGTTTTGTCAACATGTAGGACTGAAAGCGCTGTTAAATGCAGATTGCCTCTGTTGAATCTGGTTCTAAAAAGTAATGTTCTTCTGACATGCTGTTTATTGTGTTCTTTCTCAGTAGAGATTGTGCTGCTTTTGTATTTTGTGTAATATCTGATGTATTATTACCATTAAATATATGATGCATAGTATTGGTATTAATTTATCTGATTGTAATTTGCCTCAACATGCTTTGTCATAATTGCTTTAGAGCCAATATAGTACCTTACTGGATTTTCAAAGAGATGTACATGTTAATATTTAAACACTTTTATAGGGAAAATAATTATTATAAGAAGCAGAAATGTGAATTTTTCTGAAAATTTTCTTATGTAAATGAATGTGATTCTAATCAATATATTCATCTTAATAACCATAGTCAATGGTATTGATTATTGTATTGTAATTTGGAGGGGTTTTTTTCTAGTTAAATCAGAATATTGCATGTGTGTGACAGTCTAAAAACCCTAATAAATAACTATGGATCACCTGATCCCCCATTGGTGAACCAGAGTTGATGAGATTTCCCGCTCATTATACATGCCTGTGTTTCATTATTTTCTGTTCCCATTCTCTGGACTTAATTCTGAATATATCTTTTAAGATATGTGTAAAAAAAGAGTAGTATCAGGCAATCTGTATCCTTATGTATAATTCAATGACACTTTGCTTTTTCACCTTTCCCCCTCTCTTGTCCATGAATTGTACTTTTTTATTTGAGTTTTATAACAAATCAATGTTTTATATGTCTTTTGAATATCCTATCTCAATCTGTATGTTTGTGTATTCACTTGCCAGCATCTAAACAGAAGGATGCCTCCATCCCCCCTTCCCCCAAAGTCTGGCTTTTTCTAGTTATTTTTTTAGAGAGCTCAAAGAAGGAAGTCAGGCGAAACATTTATTGCATACTCTTGCTGACCAAGCTGGAGATCTGGCCTTAATAGAAAGGGAGAACCTGACAAACTGGTAAGACAATAGGTCTGCAATTAGAATGTTTTCTTTACGCTATTTGTGGTGTACGTTTCACAGTAGGGGAATTATGGTATGTCACAGGTAATTTACCAACTTGTTTAATGTTTCTTTTCCTAGTTTTCCTGGTTTGGGGGAGTTTAGGGGTTTATATTCAAAATATCCAACTATCCATTAAAATACGTGTCATGGGTACTACATATTTTTTTTCCTAATATGAAGATAATTCAAAACAAGATTTGGCTGATCTTAGAAAAGCTTAGCTGGATCAGACCTGTTCAATATTAAACAAGAGTTCATTAAGAAATCTTAGAGTTATAAGCTTAGACCGAGAAGTTGAAAAACATTGTGAAAGAAAATAGCAGCAAACCACATCCATATTATTGCCAAGAAAGCTTTGTTGAGTAGTCACCAGTAGTAGACTTAAAGACAAAAAATAATTTGAAGTAGTCTGTATCCAGTCTGTATGTATTAGACTGCAATTCCTATTGTCTTGTAGGAAGGCCCCCCCTCCCCAGATTCAAATATTCTTTATTCTTAATATTAAAAAGAGGTAGAATACTATATTTCCCCAAAAGAGAAATGGAGAAAAATCTTAACAAAGGCAGAAAGCAGCCCCAGTCTTTCTTAATAGCCTCAAGCAGAAACCTCAAGTCTTTAGAGATGGATATTTTGTACCTATTAAGAAAGACTGGGCCAATCTATTCATATGCCTTCAGCCTCCTCAGCTGATAGGATTAAGAATTTACATTCCCCTACCCAAATTCTAAGGACAGAACATGACCTTTAGGACATAATAGGATTAACCCATCATCATTGGTACAAGGCTCACTACATTGCACAACCCCCTGGAACAGCGGTTCTCAACCTGTGGGTCGCAACCCTTTGGGGGGTTGCACGAGCCTTTCACAGAGGTCTCCTAAGACCATCGGAAAACACATATTTCCGATGGTCTTAGGCAGGGCCTGTCAACCGCCTTCTCTCCCTCCCCCCCTCCGCTCCACCTCACTTGTTTGTGGAAAATATGCTGCTTGGTGGCAGTCTGCATGAACTCTAACAAATGTGCCCTGCAGGGGGCCATGAAGAGCGCAGGTGCAGAGCAAGGCCCCGCCCTCCCCAGAGACTCATTGTGCAGCAACCGAATTGACTTCTTGTGCACGCAGGTCAGCGAAGGGGAGGCCGCTGCAGCACCCAACTCCTGCGCCCGTCATCAGCGACCCCCAAACTTGCGCCAGCTGATGCAAGAGGGAGGGAAGGAGGAAGGGACTCTTCCTCGTCTCCTAAACTTCAAAGCACAATTGGCTTCCCAAAGGCGCCACAATCCTCACAAAAGTGGGGGAGGGGGGAGAAGCAAAGGGGGCGAGAAAGCTTGCGGCGGGCTCGAAGCAGCACCTGCCAGCATTGGTGACAAGAAATTCCCCACAAACCCAGCGTAGGGGTGGAGAAAAGGAGCCCCCTTTGGGAGGAAACCGCCACCTTCTTCTCCTTGGCTTTGCGTTCTTCTGTTTCTCGGCAGCCTCTCCTGGCTGGAACTTCCTTTCCTTCCCTCCCTCTTGGTCTCTTCCTCCTTCCCTCCCTCTCCCATTGTCCCTACCTTCCTTCCTTCCTTCCTTCCTTCCTTCCTTCCTTCCTTCCTTCCTTCCTTCCTTCCTTCCTTCCTTTCACCTCCCTCTTTGTCCCTCCTTCCCTCCCTCTTTCCCCTTGTCCCTTCCGTCCTTCCTTCCTTCCCTCTTGTCCAGGATCAGGGTGAGCCTCTACAGCTGATCCGCGCTTCTGCAGCTGTAGCTGCTCTCCTTGGCTCCTGCCCAGCAAACTTGCTCGCTAGAAAACATGCGCTTGCTAATTTAGCAGAAATGCGAATCAGCTGTAGCCCGGCGCTGATCCTGGAGCTTCTGCTAACTTAACAAGCGGCATGCCTTTCGGTGAAGCTGAGCAAGTGAGCTGGGCGAGCTCTCTTCCGTCTCTGCCTATGCACAGGCAGGTTTGCCGGCAGTAAAGCCCCCAGCCACGCTGGCAGCCTATCCCCCTCCCCTTGTCCCTTCCCGGGCACGGAGGGGGGGGGAAGAAGGAAGGGACGAAGAGGGAGGGAAGTAAGGAACAATGAGAGAGGGAAGGAAGGGAAGAACAATAGAAGGGAGGGAAGGGAGGAAGGGACAAAGAAGGAAGGAAGGAAGGAAGGAAGGAAGGAAGGAAGGAAGGAAGGAAGGAAGGAAGGAAGGAAGGAAGGGACAATGGGAGAGAGGGAGGGAAGGAGGAAGAGACTAAGGGAGGGGAAGGAAAGGAAGGAAGGAAGGGACAATAGGAGAGGGTGGGAAGGAGGAAGAGACTAAGAAGGAGGTGAAGGAAAGGAAGGAAAGAAGGAAGGAAGGGACAATGGGAGAGAGGGAGGGAATGAGGAAGAGACTAAGAAGGAGGTGAAGAAAAGAAGGAAGGGACAATGGGAGAGAGGGAGGGAAGGAGGAAGAGACTAAGAAGGAGGTGAAGGAAAGAAGGAAGGGACAATGGGAGAGAGGGAGGGAAGGAGGAAGAGACTAAGGGAGGGGAAGGAAAGGAAAGAAAGAAGGAAGGAAGGGACAATGGGAGAGGGAGGGAAGGAGGAAGAGACTAAGAAGGAAGTGAAGGAAAGGAAGAAAAGAAGGAAGGGACAAGGGGAGGGAAGGAAGGCAGGCACCCACCCCAGTCCCATCCCAGAGACCCACAGATTCCCCCCCACAGGCACTCTGCAACCTGAGTGATCAGCTGGCAACGCTCCCGGCCATTGATCATGTGACCCTGGGACACTGTGAACATCATAAGTATGAATCAGTTGTCAAGCATCCAAATGTAAATCACATGACCCTGGGGAATGCTGCAACAATCATAAGTGTGAAAAATAATCATAATTCGCTGTTGTAACTTCAAACGGTCACTAAGTGAATTGTTGTAAGTCGAGGACTACCTATACTTTCCCATTTTTTCCTTTTTTTGGGGGGGGGTCAAGTTTTTGATACCCCCCTGGCCAACTGGATGTGGGGGTTGGGGGTCACCACAACATGAGGAACTGTATTAAAGGGTCGCGGCATTAGGAAGGTTGAGAACCACTGTCCTAAGCAATCAGCCTCCATTTTTTTTCTCCGGGCTTGGAACTGGACCTGATTTTTCTTTTAACAGTCTCTTACCATTAACCATACTGTGTGGCTCTGGTGGGAAATCAAGTTCAATATTTGGAGATCTGTACCTGCCCGCTTTTAACTTCTCCTTTCATCTATTCCTGCTTTTCCCCTGTTTGCCCTAAAATTTCATTGATATTAAAGTGTCTGCTTTCAGTAAAGCTTTGGAAGTTGGAAATCATTCCTTGTTATCTGATATATCTCAGATATTCAGTTTACAGTTATTATAAGCTTCTAAAAGTCATTTTTGTTTTATTTATTTTTGCTGGAACGGAAAGGAATTGAGATCTTGGTTTAATTCCATCGGCCACTGAACTGTGAAATACTTGGATACTTGCTTGCCAGCCTTTTACCTTTAGCTTACACAAGGGTTATTTTTTGTCTTTTAGTGCAAAGCTTATATCATAAAAGAACCTCATAAGAGCTTGATGTCTCAGCTTGTGAAAGAATGTGGAATTGTTTGCTTGTAGTGTCTGTTTGGTTGTTGTCATCTGTAATAGAATAGACAGTGCCTGTTGGAGACTAAAAAGCTAACAATGGCTTTCAACAATGTTCTTACAGACTTTTTCCACATTTAAAAAGTAATAGTTAAAATTATATCTGAACCTCATGCTACTTTCTCAAACCCATTTTTATCAGCTAACTAGGACTCTTCTTCCAAATAGATATTTAAAAGTGCAGCCAAGTAAAAAGAAAAAGAAGGAAAAAATAAAAATTAAAAAAAAAAAAGATTACAAGCTGTGCAAAATTAATTTTTTAATTAACTATAGTTCTGTGTTTAAAGATGATCTTATATCAGTGTACTACTTTAAAACTTGTTATCAATAATTAGGAAAGGCAACCAATATGTTATGAATAATCAGAATGAACAATTAATAGCAATTTGGGATGAATCTGATAGCATCTGTAGTTATTATAACAAGTAAGCAAAATCTTTTTTAAAAAGTCTTATGCTAAAGGAAACTCAAACTTCAGATGTAGTTTAAGTCCATGTCCAGAATTATAGTTTATAAATGGTTTCTATTTTCTGAATTAAGTTTAAACTCAGTATCAGATTTATTTGATTTGTTTTAATACAGGATTATATATGACACTAAGACACATTCCGTATCTTGGGAACCTATATTGGAGCTATCCTTGCTGGGGTATGAAATGTACACTTTCCCAACAAGGGCTAAGCCAAATCTAGAGAAACATAAAGGTAATTTGGGATAGGACATTTAGACCTTGCATCTACCATAGAGCTATAATTAGTACATAATATTCATTTATTTAAGTAATGATGTCACACTTATTTTGTACAATTGTGTTACTTTAAATAATGATAAATGTAAGAAGTGTGCTTCTTCATGAAGAGGTGAACTTCTTGGCATATAAGATAATGATGTTAATCTCAAGAAATTATAAAGCCTCTTAATGCAGTTCAAAATTATTTACATTTACATTTTCTGGAAAATATTTCAATGTTTAAATTTAGGATCAATTTAAGTATGTTTATGTTGCTTAAATTCAATTTAAGTTGTATTAATGCCCATTCATTCTCTTACTAATTAACTTTATAAATCATCATATTGATTTTATATTCTGTCTTTTCAAAGTGATAAAATATCTTGAGACTAGCCAAGCACTGGTCAGCAGTGAAGATCAAGTGAAAACAAAGTTCTGTTATTTAGGATGCCACCTGCAAAGTGACAGCAGTATTGAGAATTGATGATTGACAATGCAAAGGTGAATGCAACATGGCTGTGGTGCAAGATGTTCACAGGCGTGCTGTATGCCTAAAATCAAAAGTGGGTGAAGGATGGTCTGCCCAGCAGCACTGTATGGCACTGAATGCTGGCCAACCATCAAAAATGCTGAGTGACTTTTCCATGCCATGGGGATAAGCGTGTTCCATTGGTCATTAGGCATTTTCCTTCTTGATCAGCTCAGTGATGATATAGTCTGGCAGCAATGAGTGTTGCACCAATAACAGAGAAAATGTGAGAAAACTGCCTATATTGGGATGGGCTATATTCTACTAGTAGCACTCCACATTGTTGCCTGCACCACCTACCACTTTAACAATGATGGCAAATGACCACGTGGAAGACCAAAGCAAAGATAGCAGGACACAGTTAATATGGATATGAAAATCATTCATTTGGACCTGGTTGCTGGACTTGATTGCATGAAATGGCATTCATTGATTCATAGAGCGGGCCCTTAACTGGCAAGAAAACACTAGAATGAAAATTGTTGTAACCATAAACTTTAACAATGTAGCATAGCACACAATATATAAAAATAAAATGAAATAACAGTAAAAGTAATAAAATAAATATTGCAAAGAGGTGGAAATAAAATAAAGCAAGAGCTATGATTAAGATTTAAGTTTAAATGATAATAAAGCAAAAGTAGCAGCCTGACTGTTATCAGTGGGAAACGCTGCAAGAAGATAATCCGATTATTTGAAATCTGAGCCTTTGAATTTTCCTATCATGGACAATTTGGCCCTTATTTCATCATAAAGGGGATAGTGGAAGATGTAGTGAATAATGTTCTTCCCTTAACTGACATTACAAGGACAGAGAGGATATTTAACAAGGCGCTTATAAAATCTTCCTTCAAAATGTGAGACCTGCAAGCAAAGGAATACAAATGTCTTTCTCAGTGGGGCCCTGGCACTGTTAGCACATAATGGGAGAATCTTCTATGTTTTTAATGATAAATTCAACTTTTAAATCCAGGTGACTGAACTGCAGTAGCATCTGTATTGGTATCACTTTCAAAATATCTATTTCTAATATTTTTCTCTTGTTCCAAGAACTACGTTATCCCAATGTGGGTAGGGAATACATTTATAGAAAGGACACAAAAGTTTGGTCCATAATTAGTGGTATAACAGAAGAAGCGAAGTCTGCATTCTGGGATTCTTGATGGCTTTCTGTACTACTTCCACTTGGGCAATAACCTTATCCACCACCAGATCTCATCCCCATACCCATACAGCATTTGGATTGTCATCTTGCTGTGGAATATATTAAGTGCAGGGACTATCAGCTGCCCTCTTTTGAAAGAGTAGTTCAGAGTAGTGTCCATAGCGGTTAAATGTGTTTTCTATACAAGGAACTTATGAAAGGTGATGCCTAGATATTTAAAAGAGAGACATTGCTCTATTTGTTGGGCATCTATATTTGGCAGTACTACCACTAACTCATAATTTATCCTCAAAATTTCCCATCCTGATTTAGCCAACATCTTCTAAGATCCATTGCAGTAGAAGAAATAAGAATCATAATTGACATAATTAAAATTGAATTTTTCTATCTGCTAAGTGGAATAGGGAGTTAATTTCTTTTTCTCTGAATATTTTTTTAGCATTTTCCTATTGTCTTTCATTAACCAGCTATGGCAGATTGTTTTAAAAGAATACTTTTCTAAATCATAGGCTAGTGATGGCGAACCTTTTAGAGACCGATGCTCAAAAACTGACCCCGCCCCATTCTACTCCCTGCCCCGCCCCTGCTTTGCCCCCACCCCGCCTGCCCTCAGGGCCACTCACCTCCTCCAGGGCCCGCCGTAGATCGCCCAGCAGCGCCATGGCGGCCACGCCCTCTGCCCGCACCCCGCAATGGGGCGTGAGGACAAAATCTTGTCTATGCTGTCTGGCTTCCATGTCCTTGGCTGCACTGCTCTGCATGGGCAACGCTCGGGGATGACTCTCCTTCAGGGAGCTGCTGGTGAGGAGGGGGTCATGGGGGGAGGCAAGTCTGGGGCAACAATATGTGTGCCCACAGAGAGGGCTCCAAGTGCCACCTCTGGCACCCGTGCCGTAGGTTCGCCACCACTGTCATAGGCAATTCCATGAAAATGGGTGTATTTCAAAAAGAATACAAATGTGTATGCGGGTATCAGTTTCACTCTCATTATCAATAACAACTCTTGAAACTATTTTAAATATTCGTTATTTTTTTGGAATGTTATGGTGATCGTCTCTACCCTATTTATCACTAATTTGTGTTTATATTTTTTTATAGAAAAAAACCTTGGGAAATGGGCATGGTGATACAAAGTGCCAGTGTCCAGTATCATTGTCATAAGATTTTTTCTGGGCCTCCACAGTCCCCAAGACAATAAATAAAAAAATAAAAACAGGATAAATAACCAAATGTCATTGTTTTATTTAAACAGTAAGTAGTTTATTATTTAGCTAACTTGGAAAATACAGAAGTAAGGAAATGTGTATGTGTTGTCTTTGTTTTTGCTTTAAAACAAAAAAAAAATTGTCTTTTTAAAAATGTGTATTTAGTGATTGTTGTGCCTTCTGGAATTCTCTCAGGAGAAGCCACTCTTTGTTCCCCATTAATTATCTTCTAAAAGTTGAGGATTCTTTTATTATTATTTTATTATTTTACATATTTTTATTACTACTGTTGTGTTTTTATGTTTTTGTTGTGGCTCATTGTGAGATGTCAGAGGGTAATTGGGAAGCATTTCTGCACCATTGATTTATTACATTACATGTGGTGATATTGTTTGCAAGAAATATACTATTAATGTAGAATAATGAAAAAAATCACTAAAATAATGATGTGTATAAAACTGAAGTCTGAACCTGCCCTCGGGGTTCAGAATTGCTTGTCTCTATTGCTTCTGAACTTGCGCAATAAATCTCTCTGCTAAACCCTCTGGAATTTATAAAAGTCCTTCAGTTTATTCCACAAGATTTATGGCGACTCCGCCAGGACTTTTAGGAAGAGGCCATTGACCTTCCAGACGGACTGCCCTGGTGGGTAGCCCCTCTCCTAACAATGACTCCTCCAAGCTGGCTCTGTGGCCTTTGTTTACAGGGAGACCTCGACGGGAAGGGAGGGGAACTCACCTGCCTGCGAAGCACTCCAGTCAAGGATCCGCCGTCTAGAACCAACGAAACCATTACTATGGATCATTATGCCCTTACTAACGTATCTGGGATGCCATATCTAAAAGACCCCACAAATACCAGTCTCCTTTGGCTAGCCCCAGATGGAATGTACTGGATTTGTGGAAAAATGGCATACGGACAACTATCTAAGAACTGGTGTGGATCTTGTGTATTGGGAATAATTTGACCAGGATTTTTCCTGTTACCATTAAAAACTAAGCAAATTCTTGGAGTTCCCATCTATGATGAAGTTGGCAATATAAGACAAAGAAGGGAACTAAGTGCACACACCCAATGCACAGGAGTCATTTGGCAAGAACATGAATGGCCACCTTGCCGCATTATCCTAGTTCAGGGGTAGGCAACCTTGGCTCTTTTATGACTCGTGGACTTCAACTCCCAGAATTCCTGAGCCAGCCATGCTGAGGGGAAAGGGAGAGGTTTTCAAGCTGAGCCATGTTGGCTCAGGAATTCTGGGAGTTGAAGTCCACGAGTCATAAAAGAGCCAAGGTTGCCTACCCCTATCCTAGTTTATGGTCCGGCTACTTGGGCTGAGGATGGAATGTATGGATACCGTACCCCTATTTATATGCTCAACAGGCTCATTAGGTTACAAGTGGTGGTAGAGTTAATCACTAATGAGACTGTGAAGGGACTAACTGAATTGGCCAAAGAAAATGTGAAATCCAGGACATATATTATGCAAAATAGGTTAGCCTTGGACTATCTGTTGGCCAAAGAAGGAGGGGTATGTGGAAAATTCAACCTAACAAACTGTTGCATCGAAATAGTTGAAAGTGGGAAAGTGTTGAAGGACATAACAAACAAAATGGTCAAACTAGCTCACATTCCAGTGCAAACCTGGAAAGGATTTAATTTGGAAGACATATTTTCAGGATGGTGGCCAAAGTTACCAGGCCTACAAACCATCATAGTTATAGCAGTCTTGTTAATTCTAGGATGTATTTTGATTCCCCACTTACTCCCCTGTGTTGTAGCAATGATTCAAAGAATCTCAGAAAGTACAGCCCAATTAACTGCAAAACATGAAACAATGTTAGCTTTATGGGAATATAAAATGTTGCCCTCTAAAGATCCTGAATCGGAGGTAGAATGATGGAAGTTTAAGCAAGAAAACTTCCAAAGGGGAGAATAATGTAGAATAATGAAAAAATCACTAAAATAATGATGTGTCTGCATAATTACTGGAATAATGCTGTGTTAGCAATATGTGACTAACCTAATGCGCATTGCACTCGGATACAATGTATGTAGCAAACTTTCCCGTGAGAAACTAACCTAATGTAATACAATGTGTATCATAATGTGTAGTTCTTTGATCCTGAGAAAAGGAATGTATAAAACCCACCCTCGGGGTTCAGAATTGCTTGTCTCTATTGCTTCTGAACCTGCGCAATAAATCTCTCTACTAAACCCTCTGGAATTCGTAAAAGTCCTTCAGTTTATTCCACAAGACTATTGAGAAGAATGAATTACAATGCTAATACCGTAGTTATATATAGGTGTTCTTTATATTTAGATCTGTAAGCAACCCTGAAAAAAAAAAAGCTGTTTTGTGTGTCATTCTCAGTCCATACTTTAATCTTAGGCCATCATGCTATCACTTTTAGTAAAAAGGCCAATATATAATTTCTGGCTCAGCAAGCTGGTAAGACCAGTTTTTCAGGGTTTGAATGAGTTTCTAGGAGTGCTAACCTTTCCCTGCCCTTTTTCTAGGTAAGACAAGAAAGGTTTAAATGGTTAGATACTGTGTTTTTATTTACTTTGCTATGGAAGATGGTAAGAAGAACTACTTATTTCAGAAAGTACATATTACACTGAAAAGGGGTGAAAGATGTAGTTCAATTTCAAGGTCTCCCCCCATTTTAATAGGGGAGGATATTTCAGGGATTTAATACAAAATGAGTATGTAAGCCTTCCAGTCTTTCCTCGCTGCAAAATGCATGTTGCATTGCACTACCGTATTTTGATTGTGTAGTATCATTGGTTCTTAAGGCTTCAGAAATAGGGCTGAGGGCCCTACTCCTGGAATAAGTGATGCTGAAGAGGTTGTTTCCCTATTTTCCTCTTGGGTTATTTTTTGAGTGCCACAATGTTGGAAGTAAATTAATAATTTCTTCTCTGATATGTGTTCTTTGCTGTTTCCATTCTGGCCCTAATGGGAAGCTATTATGGAAGAATTCTGGTAAGTCATCTATAGTGTCTTACTTATAGCGAAGTCAGTGTTTATTGCCCCTAATTGTGTAAAGGCGGAACAGTTTTTTCTTGTAGTCAGAGCACCCATGTTCTAGATTTCTCTTATTTTGGGAATAGACAGATTAGTCCTAGTTGCTTTACTTAGACAATGAGAGAACTAACTCTCACAATTATTTTCAGTCTTCCTGAAGTCAGATCGCAGAAAGCATTATTAATGCCGATATGCCCAATTTCTCATCCCCTTCAGGTTCTATATTATAAATTGTGAATACTGCTCACTATTATTACTGTTAGGATCATATTCAGCATGCTGAATGTCACCTCACTTGAGATATTGGCAGTTCTACTGGTATAATTTGTTAATATAATTTGTTAATTTGAGGAAAAGGTTGGTCTAGCAATGTTGCAGATTTATTATAATGCTTTGGGCACCGGGGAAACTATATCCTACTTCGCAATAATCTCACATATATGGTTAAATAGGTGGTTGTAACATTACCATAAGTGCATTCCTTTCAGTTTGTACTATCCCTGCTGCTTAATTGTGGATGCTAAACATCATCAGAGCTTATAAATTATAGTTCTCCAGATGAGAAATATCTCTAGCGGTGGCATCTGAATGATTCAGTGGTAATTGAACTGCCTTAAGTCAAGACCCAGGAAGATGCTGTGATCCTGCTATTTACTGTAGTCTTCCAGAAAGATTGTGACACTGAAGTGCTAATGACACTAATTTGTGACACTAATTTGTTAACTTTATAGTAATTCTAGCAAAATAAAGTGCTAAGCTATGAGTTATTAATAGTAAGGAATCTCAAGTAAGCAATTTTGATTTTGTATGTCTGTTTTATTGAAAATCTGAATTTCCCCAGCTGTTTCCCGGCTAACATATCATTATTGCTGCATTTCGGATGGCAGCGGTTCTGTTGATCTCAATCCGTTCCTTCTGGAGAATGCAGTCTAGGATTGTTTTGAGTTTTTCTGTGTACGCATCATATTCTTGGCTCATGCTCAGCTTGTGCTTCATCAAGCTATACAATAATTTTCTCATGTGCTGCTAGCCAATGTGGTATCCCCTATTCCAGTGGTGGTGAACCTATGGCATGCGTGCCAGAGGCGACACTCAGAACCTTCTCTGTGGGCATGCGCGCCATTGCCCCAGCCCCACCTCCCCTTGTAGCCCCCTCCTCACCAGCAGCCCCCCTAGAGGAGAGTTGCCCCTGGGCGTGGCCCACGCAGAGCAGTGCAGCGAAGGACATGGCAGCCGGGCAGTGGGGACAAATCTCCACTCTCACACCCCGTAGCGCGCAGTTGATGCTGCAGGCATAGCCGCCATGATGCTGCTGGGCCGCTTGGGTGATCTGCAGTGGGCCGTGGAGGCAGTGAGTGGCCCTGCAAGTAGGCGGGGCAGAGGTGGGGGGCAGAGGGGAGGGGCGGAGCAGGCGGGACAGGGAGGGGCTGGTTTTGGGGCACTCGGTCTCTAAAAGGTTCGCCATCACTGCCCTATTCAGTGTACATAACTTTAATTTTTCCTACCCAAATTAGGATGTTTGTTCTACTGAAATTAATTTACTAGTTTATGCCTATTGTTGCTGCCTGAATCACCTGAATAGTGACACTGTTCTACAAGATGTTTGCTATCCTTCCTTATCTTTGTGCTGTCAAGAAATTTGATAAATCCAATTTTAACCCCTTATTTAATTTAAAAGTATATTGAATACCCCAGGCTTGAGGAGAACTTTGCAATACACAGCTCAACCCTCTTTCAGCTTTGATGAAGAGCTATTCATGTAAACTTGTTGGATATGATTATTTAACTATTTTATAGTTGAAGCCATCTGTTTTTCATTTTCTATTTGTTTTCCTTTTTAATTCTTCCTGGTTCTTGTGCATCTATAATGATTTTGCAAATTGCCCTCCCTTATAGTATGCAGTTGTAGTTCCACTATCTTAATTTTGAGAACTCCTCAATCCTCTAACTTAAAGCAGCTTC